CCGCTACCCCGAACCCTATACTTAACCTAATTTCAGTGGCAAGAAGCAAAACATCACCACCCACCAACCCACCCACCCACCCACCCACCCACCCACCCACCCACCCACCCACCCACCCACCCACCCACCCCCACCCCACCCCACCCCAACCCTTTTTCGCGCGCGCAATTCCAGGAACCATGGACGCGAAAAAGTTTCAGCCCGAAACCCGACCCCCCCACCCCACCCCCCGCCCGCCCCACCCCCCCACCCCACCCCCCACCCTACACCCCGCCCCACCCCACCCCTCCACCCCACCCATAGGTGGCATAGGTCTTGTGGGCAAGCAGGATTTGCTTTAGTGTCCCACCCAATAAGTTCCGCATTGCAGCAGGATTTGCTTTAGTGTCCCACCCCTAGGTCTTGTTGGGAGACATTAGTGTCCCAACCAATTAGTCTCATGCTGGAGCAGGATTTGCTTTAGTGTCCCGCATAGGTCTTTTCACTGGAGTTGGGGGGAGAGAGTCTGACTTTTGGGCCGAGCGGGGGGACGGGGGAGGCAGGGGGGAGGTTAAGGGGGCGGGAGGCGGGCAAAGCGGGCTGTATGGCGCGAGCAGGTGCAGGTTGCTTACAGTGATGAGGTTCGGGCGGGTTGCACGAGGTCTTTGGAGATGTCAACGTGCTCCTACATTGTCCTACATGCAAGACGACGTGCTCTGGGATCATGTCTGCGTTCTAAACCCTTAAAGTTTAAAGTAAACTAAACGAAACCCTGGCCCTCGATCTCACTAGAAAACCTGGATGCAGGCTTTTGCGCCGAAGATGTCGACGTCCATCAGACTGGCTGCATGGTCTCAGCAGGCCATGGAGCAGCGAAGGGCGCTAGGCGTCGCGCAAGGACACAAGCCTTGGTCTGGCTCGCAGGAACACTGCTACACAGGTATGCGTGTCACTCCGAGAATCCAGGAATGCATGGACCTTGCATTCATGGCCACCTTCGGGCCCAGTAAGATGTCTTGTGACTTGACGTCAGCTGACAAGCCAGTGCTGGCCAATTTCTTCCTGGACTGCAGCCAGAAGCCGCTGAGGCGCGCATGGACCAACCGTGCAGGGATTACAAGATGTCTCACAACTAGTACTTCACTGTATGCATTTGAGCGTGACTCTTTGGTCTTGCCGGTGGAACTCATGTGGTTTCAAGGGCACAGACGAGACCTGTGTGTGCCACCGGAGCTGGGACAGCGCGGCCTGCGGGAGTTGGCAGGAGAAGGCATCTGTTTGCCAGTGCTAGCAACCGTCTTTGCTGCTTTGATCATGTCCGGCGGCTTGTAAGAAGCCCGAATCTTTCCTGTGTCATGCCACACAGGCTTCAGCTTGTACAGTGTGAGGGCAAGCAGACCGCTTTGCATCATAGAGTGTCAGACTGTCATGTATGCATGCTGGGCGCACAGATGGGTGTGCAGTCTGCTTGCATCACTGAATGCTGCGTTCGTGTCCGCATCCTCACCGTGAATCGACCGTTGCACAAAAGCTTGTGTACTCGTGAACTAGTGCCAAGCTGCTGGGGATGCAGGTAATGTTGTGCTTGCACAGAGGTCAGATTGAAGGTGTGCAAGCTGCATGGCTGCTGGCATTTTCTAGCTAGGTCCTACCCGGCTACCCGCCACCCACTTCTCCCCTTGCTTCTAGGGAAGCAAGACCGCAGGCCGCAGGCCGCGTGCCTCTTCTGATCTCATGGCGCCCAAGTCAAAAGCAGAGAAACCGCCGAAGCGCAAGCAGGAGGATCGACGTTGCGTTTGGAGATAGGGCGTTTTTCCGTTGGGTGACTAAGATATATCCGGAGCAGAGATGTCTGTGTCGCAGCAAGCATTGACCATCTGTGCAGGACTTGGCCCTAGTTCCCCTGGAGGGCGCGCAGACCAAGGCGCAGCAGAAGAAGGCCAAAGTGGTTATGATCTGCGTGTTCTGCAAGAAGACGTCGCAGGCCAGACTATGCTGTGTGAGTCTATGTTGTGACCTTTGTGAGTGGAAGCATGAGTCAGTGCGAGTATGCATCGTGTAGTGATTAGGGCCATTAGGGTAGGGCCGGGTATAGGTAGTATAGGGTGCACTCCGACTGGTGTTCGAGTCCATGGCTCTGCAACACCTCGCAATATCCTGTGTCAGGTAGTCAAGTTCACCTTAGGCAACGACGGCACCGTCTTGAACTGCTGCTTCCCCTGTGGAAAGCGCGTCATGCAGCTGCGCCCCGGTCTGCTGCTAGAGGTGATCATCCAACTGTGGCAGACGCCCGAAGCCGATCCGGACCTGGTGGCTGACTACAAGATGGCCACAGCTCGCGAGGAGGATGACGACGCTCCAGAGGCCAGCAAGACCTTCAAACCGAACAGCTCTGTGTGCAACTTGCAAGAGTATGGTTGGCAGATGTTCCGAGACTTTGCAGCCCTCACCGAGCAGGAGTACAAGGACCTGGTGTCAGGCAACAACCCCAAGGACATCGTCAAAACCTTCCCCAACATGAGTGTTCCTTGGCTAGGCCCGGGCAGCAGCAACACAACCTTGTACGCGGTGGACCTGGATGGTTTGCCACCCGCAAAAGTTGCATCCGTGGGTAAGGTGCGTATCTTCTACGGTAGCTCAGCTATGCATTCGGAGACTCACTTGTCTGCAGAGAACCAGCTGATCGAGAGCGCAGGCCAGCGCTGGTTCAGCCACGTTGCTGGCCTGAACTTCGCGGACAGGCCAGAACTGGCCCAGCCGAGCTCCGGAAGGGCTCCAACGGTGCAGCAGCTTCTGGATGCCCACGATGACACGCAGAGACAGAAAGCACTCCTCCAACAGAAGAAGCTGGGGGAGGATGCCTCGTTTGCCATGGACGTGGATTTGGGCGGCGATAGCCAGGATGGCGACATGCAGGAGCTTCCGGAGAAGATCTCGACAGGTGAGGGCTCGTTGTCAGTCCGTCCAAAAGGAATGGCCGCCAGAAGTCAGCTGAAGGCTTTGGAGAAAGCCGCTGCTAAAAAAAAGCAAGCAACAGCTGCAGCGCCGGCTCTCGGGGATGCAGAAGACACGAGAAGCATGAGCAAAACCAAGAAGCAGAAGCTCCAGGACGGCGCTGATTGCCTGGAAGACGAGGCTCTCCGGGAAGTCGCCCAGGAGCACCTGCGTGTGGGCGGGACCTCCGTGAAGTCCTTGGAGTTGTTGAAGCCGTTGGAGTTCTTGCATGGTGGTCCAACCCCCCAGAAGCAGCTCGCAGCTGCTTTGTCAGGGGTGCCTTGGCATTGTGGAGTTAGATTCAGAGTGATTGCGCTATTGTCAGGTCGTCCTCTTGTGACATTGTTTCCTTTTGCATAATGCAGGTGCTGCATGCTGCTGCTGCTGTCATCAGAATGCTATCATCTGCTATCTCCTTCTCTTCGGATTCTGATCAGTCCTCATGTTGTGTGAGCTTTGCGCCTCAGGACCTAGTGACCTAGTGTGTCAATCTCCAGTCTCTCGTGTCATCCTGACGTAGGCCACTTGGTCGGTGTGTCCCGGGAACATGTGTAGTGTGGCATTTGTTTCACTAGCACGTGAAACGAGCATGCTGACAGGCCAAAGGCATCCGTGATCGCCTCAAGGAGAAGAAAGCCATTGGAGCTCACGACGTGCTGACAGACCGCCTGCGTGATTGTGAGGCAGCAGATGTGCTGCGGCAAAAGTGTGAGAATCTCAAGCAGCTCAAATCTTGGCCGCTTCGGTCTATGGAGGCCCACTTGCAGGTGCTGAAGGACTACTTCAGTGACTTCCCCCTGGAGTTCATGGTGTGCATCGCGTTCCGCGTCATCTACGAGGGGCTGAAAGACGCCCTTGAAGTCTCCAAATCCGAGGAGGAGTCACCAGCACCGTCGGCATCCGCAGAGGACTTCCGCGCCTACGCGCAGGCCGTAAGTCTGCACATCGACACCATCGATGAGGCTGCCGTGCCATGGGAAGGTCTCGAGACCTCCGTCAGCGGAGTCCTGCATCTGCTCATTGACAGTGCAGTTGCCTGCGAGAAAGAATTGGCTGCAGCAGGGGGCGGGCTCGCGGAGCTGGACGTAGAGTCCGCTTTGCAGGCAGCAGAGAACGTTGCCACAAGTCGAGCTGCAGAGGGGCTGGAGCGAGCAGTCCAGGCCCGTTTCTGTGTTCTGGAGAGCTTGCGCCTAGTAACGGCTAGTTGCTAGTAGTAGCCTCGGTAGGTTGCGCAGCGTTGATTGCAACTCCTCTCTTATAGCCATTGTCTGATGCACCATACCTGTACCTACATCCGGTCCAGGAGAACAAGCAAATGCCGTGATCTCCTGCTTTGCGTTGTAGTCAAGTCAAGTCGTTGGAGTGCCGCAGGAGTTCTGCATGGCAGCGGTGCATATCTTTGAGATTTCCGTCCAGCTGCGATGCATGTGATGTGCTGTTTCGAAGCACCACTTCATGGGGCTTCTGTTGGCCGACCGTTGCTACTGCTAGTGTACTGATCGTTCTCGGTAGTCACATTGATACTCTCATTTATTGTGACGAGCAGCTGTTACAGCCCATCGCTTGTTCCGCTGGCTAACTTGCAGCCTACACTCACCCGTAGCAAGGCCCCTAAAACCCCACTAGTCTCCAGGATTCTATTCCCAAGTGTGTTTCACAAATCTTTACAATGGGCAAGCGTCTCAGCTTCCTGAAGGGTTTGCACCCTGTCCATTACACCCCCTCGCGCTATCCCTGGGCCCTGGCCCTACTAACCTGACCATGACCTGTAACTGTCCCGAACTCATCCCTGAGCCCTAGGCCCTAAACTTTAAACTCTAAGCACTTCCTATATACAAGAGCTGCCCCAACCATGAACTTTGCATGTGTGAGATACAGAAAGAGAAAAGGGGAAGAGAGCGAGAGAGCGAGAGAGAGAGAGAGAGAGAGAGATGAGAGAGAGAGTGGGATAGGATAGAGATAGCGTTGGCTAGACTAGAGTCACTAGAGATAGAGTCAAAAAAGACTCAATGAGCGAGACGCGTCATAGACCGTGGTGGTAGTAGTAGTAGTAGTAGTAGTAGTAGTAGTAGTACTAGTAATAGTAGCAGTAGTTGTTGTGGTTCTAGTAGTAATCGTCGTCGTCGTCGTCGTCGTCGTAGTAGTAGTAGTAGTAGGAGTAGGAGTAGGAGTACGAGTAGGAGTAGGAGCAGGAGTACGAGTAGGAGCAGGAGTAGGAGTAGGAGTAGGCGTAGGCATAGGAGTAGGAGTAGGAGTAGGCGCAGGCGTAGGAGTAGGAGTAGGCGTAGGAGTAGGAGTAGGCGTAGGAGTAGGAGTAGGAGTAGGAGTAGGAGTAGGAGTAGAAGTAATAGTAGTAGTAGTAGTAGTAGTAGTAGTAGTAGTAGTACTAGTACTAGTAGTAGTAGTAGTAGTAGTAGTAGTAGTAGTAGTAGAAACTTTAAGATTCAGCAATCTGTCCAAATCAAGCCCGGAAATACGAAGGCGAGCCTACAGCAGAAAATTACGGTGTCACTAGGACCACTTTTCCTAGTGCTGCTGCTGCTGCTGGTATTACTAGTAACTCGAATCGGCAGCAACGCTGCCGCTATTACCACCAGTACTTGTTAGTACTGCTACCACAGTAGTACGAACACTTCTGCTACTGTAGTACCATACTACAAATGCTACTAGTAGGCTACTCGTATCTATAGTAATACCACTAGTCCTGCCCTTACCACAGCGACGATGCCGGCGACGACCAGGACAAGCACTACCACCAGTATCACTTCCACTTCCACAACTACTTCTTCTACCACCGCTTCCACTTGTTCTTCTACTAAGAAGATCTTCTTTGTTAGTACTAGTGCTGCTTGTACCGGAGTACTACTACTGCTGCGACTACTACTACTACTACTACTGGTACTGCTACTACTACTACTACTACTACTACTACTACTACTACAACTACGACTACTACTACTAGCACTATGCTGGCTTGTCAGGCCTTCGTGAGCGGATACATGGATATCTTTGGCAGTGATGAGATGCTGGCGGTTCTCGAGACAGGGGAGGCTTGCAAGCCGCACTTGCTCGGGATGTGCTACGAGTTTTGTTTGCAGCACATCCGCTCCAAGAAGACCCTGGATGTGCTGCAGCGACACTCTGCCCTCCAACCCATAGCAGATTCTCTGGGCCGTGTGGTGAAGATTTGCCGATGCTTGGTCCATCTCCTGGGGGGCGTGTGGCCTGATTCTCAGGAGCCGACCTCTGCACAGGATGTCGTGGATTTCATGCAAGCCAAAAGTGTTGGTGCAGAACGGCGTCTGCGTCTCGCCCTCTCCAAAGCAGACACATTTTGGCAGCAATCCTACCAGGACGTCTTGAAATGTGGATCCCAGGGTGTGCTTCTCGCGCCGGACATGGAGCGGTTGCGAACGCTTGTGGAGCCGGACGAGCTTCAAGCATGGGTGTCCGGAGAAAGCATCACGGAGGCTGTCCGGATCAGCCAAGCTTTGGATGGCAAGCTGCGAGCTGTGGAGCTTGGCCCTGTGCTGAGCCAACTTCACACCTTGGGCAAGGCATCGATGCGGAGGGTCGTAGCAAGTACCGGTCGTGAGGTTCCCGCAGGGCTTGCACATGCATTGCTGCAGGCAGCCTTGTCATTTAACCGCGTGCCAGGTTTCGAGTCTGCCAGGCTGGAACTGGAGGAGTGGTTGCGGAAAAACAGCACCCAGGTGGCGTCCAAAGATCTCCTCCAACTGATGCGTGCTGCTGTGGAGCCCGACCACGGCTTGGACTACGAGGTTGCCGTGAAGCTGCTGCAAAAGATTGACGTGGACGAGATGACAGTTCAGGACAAGGAGTCATTGAAGGCAAGAGCCAACGCTTACATGGAGGCCTTGGCAGATTTCATCGTGGAGAAGGCCTTCTGGTTTTGATTTGAGTTGAGTGGGCGATCCTGTTTGTTCATTTGGGGTGGGGTGGGGTGGGGTGGGGTGGGGTGGGGTGGGTAAAAGCATGTCATGGGTGACGGCTGCGACCTCTGGCTACGGGGCTAAGGGTGGTGTCTGACCCAGGTTGTGGAACCTACGCCAACCGAGATCAACGCCGTGCTGCCTCTGCTGCTGAAACTCGCAGAGCTTGTCTATGGCAAGAGCTCGCCCAAGATGATGTCTTATGTCGACAGTGTTGTCAAGTTTGTGAAGGGTGCCGTGCTTTTGTCCACTACATTAGCCAAGTTGCACACCCAGAGGTCCCATGCAGCACGGCTGACAAGTGCAAGTGACAAAGATTTTCGGCTGCTGCTTTTGCTGAAGCAGACACGAGCAGCGTTTCGCGAGAACGGAGCAGCCGTCTCGGCGCACCAGGCAGAGCTTGCCCACGTGCCGGATCTTGAACAAGCCTTTGCCGCTTATCCTTGGGCCCCGAAGCTCGAGAGATTCATCAAGGATGCAACGTTCGTGGAGATCGTGGATGCACAGGTTGAGGTGTTCACGAGGCAGCTACATGCGTTTGCACATCGCCTCGCGCAAGACTGCCAGAACATGGCGGAAGGACAGAGCTCTTGGTGGCGAGCTAAGGTTTCCAATGACGCGCAGTTTCATGTCCTCAGCCTTCTGGCGAATGAGACCGTGGCCACCCTGGATCCGGCTGTGCGCAAGTTGCCGGACTTGTTCCTAGAGGACTTCCCTTCCTGCTTGGGGGTAGTGACCGGGTAGTGACAGGCTGATTTCAAGTTGCTCATAGAGATTGACATAGAGTCTATAGAGATAGGTTGACACCGTAGCGACAGCATAGCTGTGGATTCTGAAGTATGCATGTCACCTTCAGGGACACTAGACTCTAGATTGCAACTCAAGCCTTCCTTACGATGTTGGATACTGCAGGAGTCCCGCAGAGGTTTCAACGTTTGGCACGAAAGCACGCTTGTTGCCCTATAAGGTCCTAATGTAAATGAGTGAAGCTGGGTGTTGTAGCCAGTAGGTCCTAGGTCCTAGGTCCAGCGTGCGACATCTGTTGCAGGAGGTCGCCCCGATGAAGTCGTTTATTGATCGGTTCTCAGAAAAGGGCGAGAGCAACATGAGCTTGAGCGGCCTGCGCAAGGCAATCGAGGACATGCAGTTCAAGGACGTGCGAGCTGTCAAAGCCCTCAGCCTGGAACTCTTGATGTTGCTGGCTGTGCGGACCATGCCAGACTCCCGTGCCAGCGACAAGACCGTGAAGATCATGAGCCAGTTGGAGAAGTACTTGTATGTTCTAGATGAAAACGATTTTCAAGTCGAGGTGGGCGACTTGCATCCGGAGATTGTGGCAGCTGCCAAGGAGGCTGTCAATTCCGGGGGAGGTCTGCCAAAGGCAGATGCATAGGCAGAGACTGCCAAAGGCAGTCTTGGCTGAGCGGAAGCGTTTCGATGCTTTCTGGTTGCAGCTGAAGCGTTTCGATGCTTTCTGGTTGCAGCTGAAGCGTTTCGATGCTTTCTGGTTGCAGCTGTGGCCCTTTTGCTACTTGTGGGTTTTAGCTTCTACAACGAGTACATAAGTATGCTTCTACATTCCGTCCAATCTTATCCATATAATCTGTTGCAACAAATACGTATAAATATGTACTTCCTCTCTACCGGCTTTACCCACAGAAGCCAGCTCCTGCAGCGAGCATGCTGAGCATGCGTCTGACACAGAGACCAGCAACCCATGCAGAGCACGGTTGCAAAATACGTCATGCGTATTGAGTATTGCTTGTGGGAGCAGACATCGTTCGTAAGGCCGAGCGTTGCAGCTCCAATCTTAAGAGTGAGTAGCGGCCGGGCCATGTGTTGCGGAACGATTAGGCACTGGGCCCTGCGCCACAACTTTGCTTGGCTGCTTGAATGAGCTTAATGCCCCAAAAGCCTTGAATTGTTGCTAGCACAGCTCCAAGCATGACCCACGCTACACGTGGATGGTGGCGGCAGCAGTAGCGCCTGGACATGAACTTCCGCAATAGCAAACTGCACGACATGTCAATGCGACACGGCAAACAGGAATGCCACACCAGATCGCCGCAAAACACAAGCTTGCAGGAACGCCAACCCAGGAATGGCAAATCCGACAAACACAAACGAGAGGCTTCCAGGAACGCCAAACCGGGAATGGCAAATCAGACAAACACAAACAAGAGCCCCCCAGGAACGCCAAACCGGCATGGCAAAACCTACCATTCGGAATGGCAAAATATTAATTTAGCAAAATCCATACCTGCATGACAAAGAATCTTATAACTATAGTTCAAAGAAGGAACCCCAAAATAGGTTTGGTAAATATTCGGCCCCTTTTTTACACTGGTTGCAGTCTCAACCCTGAACACCCCAAAACCCAGGTGCCATTTACGGCTTCAGTACGAAAAACGAACTGATCGAACATATGCTGCTTGAATACAAGGTATGTGGCTCGACCGGACCGCAGTGAGCATGCAACTCTGAAACCTAAACCCCAAATCCTAAGCCCCAAACTTCACAAGATGTTGATGCATACGCCGGAAGCTTTGCTGACTGTTGAACCAGAAAGCCTGAAAGAGTGCCCCCAACATCGGGACCCTTACTTGGAGCCACAAGGCCCCTCCCAGAACCAAACACACACGACCATTTTCTAACAGCTTCAATTCTAAACTTGCTGGTTCCTTAGAAGCTAGATGAAGTTGGGCGTGTTAACCTTCAAGAGTCAAGCTGCTCAGCTTAACACCCGAAATTGGTGGATGTGTAATATCATGCGGCTCATGCCATTTCTCAGCGGGTGGATGTTCGACCTGCTCTCATCATCATCATCATCATCATCATCATCATCATCATCATCATCATCATATATATATATACACACCATCGCAGCCAAAAGGCTTGCACGATAATCGGTGACACCTAAGGCCAAAACCCTAAATCCCTAAAGCCTTAAATCTCAAGCCCTTACGCCTTACACCCCAAACAACACCTAGCCTGAAGCCTCATCATCCTAAGCCCTGATGCCTAGAGGGCCCCCGAACCGTTGGCCCCAACCCGAAAAACAGAAAAAAGCAACCAAAACCCTAACCTTTGCTTCTCCCACCTGTACACCGAGATCTTCCATCGTCTTCAAGAAGACCAAGTTGATCTCCGGCTCTTGCTCCTCTGCTTCTGACGCATGACGGACTTGTGGAGTTTGTCTTGAATTGTCTTTTGGAGTTTACTTACTTCCCCAATACGCCAGGGAAATCAAAGGTTAAACTTTCAGATTGGTACTAAATCATAAAAGCCCAAAACGTTTAAAGGTTGGGTATTGGAGAACTAAGTCTAAGGGCGCTCGCTCCTCCGTTCTGGGCGGGTTGGGAATTGGAGTTGCTTTAGGGTCTTAGGGTTAAGCTTCTCCGGCCTCATGGTTCTAAAGGTTTTAGGGCTTTCAGGAAGGTTTAGGGTTTAGGGGTTTAGGGTTTAGGGTTTAGGGTTAAGGTTTAGGGCTTAGGGTTTGGGGTTTAGGGTGTACTTACACAAGGCTGGGCAGGGCTTTGGTGAGAATGTAGAAGACTTCTTGGAAATAGGTACTGGCGAGGACATGCTTGAGATGTTCTTCTTTCGGATACGAGTGTGAACTTACCGTAAGCCCCAAAACCATAAACTCAACTCCAAACCTGTAAACCCGAAAGCCACTTAAAGGATCATGCGAGTTTTAACTAGTGTTATAGATAAAGTACCTATAGTGTCAAATACTTACAGCCCCCATGAAGGCACGTACTTATAACTGTACTTACTACGTCCCATGATCCTCCAAGGAGCCTCCAAGCAGAATCACGAAACGACTAATACAAACCACATATTCCTGAACATGGGCTTAGGGTTTACGGTTTCGGGTTTANNTTAGGGAACCCTAAACCCTAAACCTCTCCAGCCACGCTCTCCTCCGCATCGCCCTCTACCAAGGAGCCCTGGGCACAGGCATCGACGCAGGTCTTCCCCTCGGCATTCCTGTAAGGCATTTTGGACAGGGCTGAGGGTTTTGGGTTTAGGGTTTAGGGTTTAGGGCTTATGGCCTAAACCCTAAACCCTAAACCCTAAACCACTAAACCCTAAACCCTAAACCCTAAACCCCTATAAACCCTAAACCACTAAA